TGTAAAGTTAGCAGACTGTCAGTTAGCAGACTGTCGCGTTAGTGACTGTCGCGTTAGCGACTGTCATGTTAGCAGACCGTAAAGTTAGCGACTGTCACGTTAGCAGACCGTAAAGTTAGTGGACTGTAAAGTTAGCAGACTGTCACGTTAGCGGACTGTCATGTTAGCAGACTGTATAGTTAGCAGACTGTCACGTTAACGGACTGTCACGTTAGCAGACTGTAAAGTTAGCAGACTGTCACGTTTGCAGACCGTAATGTTAGCAGACTGTAAAGTTAGCAGACTGTCACATTAGCGAACTGTCGCATTAGCGGACTGTTATATTAGCGGACTGTTATATTAGCGGACTGTCATGTTAGCAGACTGTAAAGTTAGCAAACTGTAAAGTTAGCAGAACTGTTAGACAGACTGTAAAGTTAGACAGCTACTAGCATAGTAAAGACTGTCACGTTAGCGGACTGTCATGTTAGCAGACTGTCATGTTAGCAGACTGTAAAGTCAGCAGACTGTAAGGTCAGCAGACTGTAAAGTTAGCAGACTGTCACGTTAACGGACTGTAAAGTTAGCAGACTGTCACGTTAGCGGACTGTCGCGTTAGCGGACTGTCATGTTAGCAGACCGTAAAGTTAGCGGACTGTCACGTTAGCAGACCGTAAAGTTAGTGGACTGTAAAGTTAGCAGGCTGTCACGTTAGCGGACTGTCGCGTTAGCAGACTGTCATGTTAACAGACTGTAAAGTTAGCAGACTGTCATGTTAACAGACTGTAAAGTTAGCAGACTGTCACGTTAACGGACTGTCACGTTAGCAGACTGTAAAGTTAGCAGACTGTCACGTTAGCGGACTGTCGCGTTAGCGGACTGTCATGTTAGCAGACCGTAAAGTTAGCGGACTGTCACGTTAGCAGACCGTAAAGTTAGTGACTGTAAAGTTAGCAGACTGTCACGTTAGCGGACTGTAAAGTTAGCAGACTGTAAAGTTAGCAGACTGTAAAGTTAGCAGACTGTAACGATAGCAGACTGTAAAGTTAGCAGACTGTCACGTTAGCGGACTGTCGCGTTAGCAGACTGTCATGTTAACAGACTGTAAAGTTAGCAGACTGTCATGTTAGCAGACTGTAAAGTTAGCAGACTGTAAAGTTAGCGGACTGTCATGTTAGCAGACTGTAAAGTTAGCAGACTGTAAAGTTAGCGGACTGTCATGTTAGCAAACTGTAAAGTTAGCAGACTGTAAAGTTAGCAGACTGTCATGTTAGCAGACTGTAAAGTTAGCAGACTGTAAAGTTAGCAGACTGTCATGTTAGCAGACTGTAAAGTTAGCAGACTGTAAAGTTAGCGGACTGTCATGTTAGCAAACTGTAAAGTTAGCAGACTGTAAAGTTAGCAGACTGTCACGTTAGCAGACCGTAATGTTAGCAGACTGTAAAGTTAGCAGGCTGTCACGTTAGCAGACCGTAATGTTAGCAGGCTGTCACGTTAGCAGACCATAACATTAGCAGACTGTAATGTTAGCAGACTGTAGAGTTAGCAGACTGTAAAATTAGCAGACTGTCACGATAGCAGATCGTAATGTTAGCAGGCGGTCACGTTAGCAGATCGTAATGTTAGCAGACTGTAAAGTTAGCAGGCTGTTACGTTAGCAGACCGTAATGTTAGCAGGCGGTCACGTTAGCAGACCATAACATTAGCAGACCGTAACATTAGCAGGCTGTCACGTTAGCAGACTGTCACGTTAGCAGACTGTCAAGTTAGCAGACTGTCATGTTAGCAGACGTGCCACGTTAACTGTCACGTTAACAGACTGTAAAGTTAGCAGACTGTCACGTTAACGGACTGTCACGTTAGCAGACTGTAAAGTTAGCAGACTGTCACGTTAGCGGACTGTCGCGTTAGCGGACTGTCGCGTTAGCGGACTGTCATGTTAGCAGACCGTAAAGTTAGCGGACTGTCACGTTAGCAGACCGTAAAGTTAGCAGACTGTAAAGTTAGCAGACTGTCACGTTAGCAGACTGTAAAGTTAGCAGACTGTCATGTTAGCAGACTGTCACGTTAGCAGACTGTAAAGTTAGCAGACTGTAAAGATAGCAGACTGTCATGTTAGCAGACTGTCACGTTAGCAGACTGTCACGTTAGCAGACTGTAAAGTTAGCAGACTGTCATGTTAACAGTCTGCTAACATGACAATCTAGACAAATGTTTTCCTGACATATCCGCCGCCAGCACCGAGGGGCCACTCGGCCTCGGGTGCGGGGATCTCAAAACCGGTAAAAACTGTAAAGTTAGCAGACTGTCACGTTAGCGGACTGTCGCGTTAGCGGACTGTCGCGTTAGCGGACTGTCATGTTAGCAGACCGTAAAGTTAGCGGACTGTCACGTTAGCAGACCGTAAAGTTAGTGGACTGTAAAGTTAGCAGACTGTCACGTTAGCGGACTGTAAATTTAGCAGACTGTAAAGTTAGCAGACTGTAAAGATAGCAGACTGTCATGTTAGCAGACTGTCACGTTAGCAGACTGTCACGTTAGCAGACTGTAAAGTTAGCAGACTGTAAAGTTAGCAGACTGTAAAGTTAGCAGACTGTCATGTTAACAG